CAAGGCGACCGTTGGGGTCAACGCAACCGTTGGCATCAACGCGACCGTCGGCGTCAACCCTTTTTATTTAAAGGATCGGACTGGGGGTGCAGGGGTGGGGATGGAGATGCTATTTTTCTCCCGCTGGATGGAAGCCGGAGGGCAGGATCGCGGGGAGGGAGGGGGCAGAGCAAAGGGGTCGGGAGGGCTGGGGAGGAAGGGGCAGACGAAGACGACGAGGAAGAGACGCAGAACCGCAGAGAGGAGCAGAACCCAATGTTTACAGAATAGCTTTAACTCTTAGCCCGGCTGTGGCGGCTGGGGAGAGGAAGCCCAGCTGTTCTTCAACAGTCCTTTCCAAATAACAGTATTCAGTTTGCAAAGTTAAATAAACAGAAAGAAAAGGTCCGGTTGCACTTTTTATTTTAGGACACGCAAGGGTTGTCTTTTATTTTTTTAAAAGCATTCTATTATTATTATAATTTTTTCGTTGTCGTTCTTTTTGTATGTAGTTATTTTTTTGGATGATTCTTGACGGTTCTATAAATATATATATATATATATTTTTTTTTTGTAACACAGGTCTTATCTTCTATTTTGCCAATGTGAAAACTGCCCAAAAAAAAGCATTACGAGGGGTTGGAGGGGTGAACGTCGCAAAGAGAAAAGCAGACAGATTTCTATATCTCCTTTTTGTTTCGTGGTTGGTTTTTTTTTTTGTTGGTTTTTTTTTTTTTTCCCCTTTCGTTGTTGTCGTTCTAGTTTTATTTTTTTATTTTTTACCTCTTTATGTATATGTAGGGAATTTATAGGAAAATATGTACTTTATTGAATAAATTTTAAAAACTAAAATATATTTTATTTTAAAAAAGAAAATAACGGACCTTTAACCTTACATGGCTAAAGTACTGATTATATATTTGCTGAGCTGACTTGACGGTTATGAAAATTGTATCAAGAGTTTTATTTTTTGACTTCAAAGCCTTCTTAATAAAGACTTTTTACTATATACGAACCCGTGTGCTGCCTCTGCTGCGTGGCCGCCTCCAGTCTCTTGGGTTTTGGGAGTGACTGGGGGAGAAATGGGTTGGTGTCCATGGGGTTGCTTGTGGCAGCCCTTGGGCAATGGGAGATCGGGTGCTTTTGAGGCAGGAGGCGTTGGTTTGTGCTCCCAAAGTGGAGAATGATCGCCGTTCTCTGCCTCTCCCCTCATGGGGATCTCATGGGTCATTGAGAGACGATGGTGCCCCTGGGCTGTGGGACCCAGTGAATGGGCCGTGGGGAAGAATGGGCCGTTGGGAGCCAGAAATGATGGCACCTGTGGGCAATGAGGACCCATAAGTGGTGCCCAGGGGGACTCTAGGTCCCAGAGGGTGGCACCCGAGGGTGGTGGCACCCATAGGCAGTGGTACCCACAGACTGTGGAGGCCCATGTCAATGAGCTGACAGCCACGGCTGGCAGAAAAGCGTGGGGTCCAGGAGCTGGGGATCAGTGGAGGACCAAGGACCATAGACATGGGAGGACTGACATGACCCAGGATGGGCATTTTGTGTCACTCTGAGCCTCAGGCAGGGAAAGGCAGATTGCTGTGCTTGATGGTGGCACTCCTGATCAGTTTTCGAGTAGAAAATAACAAGGCTTTTCGCTGTTTTTGTTCAATATTCTCCGTTGATTTTTTTTCAGTATCCCTTCATCTCTCAATTGCAGCTATGTGTTCCACCTTGGAGGAATTAATCTTTCCTCCCTTCCAACCAACTTTATTCATATTTATACACAATTCCTTTTACCTCTGTGTAGAAAACACACAACAGTGCACTCCCTAATCCACGACACCCCCATTTACACATGCAGATATATTCCCTCCTTCTGCCTTCACGAACAGCAGAGGCAGAACAACATTTCTACTCAGAGCGCTGTGTTTTCTTACCTAAAAAAAGAAGAAAAAAAAAAAAGTGTTTTGTTATTTTGTTAATGGCTTGAGTTATTAAGGACAGCCCTGCTGCCCTCAGGCCTCAGATATTCACTGCCTTCCACTCAGGATCACGGCGCCACTTCCGCGTTTACGCGCGCATGCGCGTTACCCTGCAGAGAACCGAAGACCATAGATATTGGATGACTGGTTGCGCAGAGCGGTTGAATGCTCTCGCTGCTCTGTGGAGGACCGAAGACCATAGATAGTGGATGACTGGTTGCGCAGAGCGGTTAGAGAAAAGCAAAAGCCCTTTCGCTGTTTGGTGCGCATGCGCAGTGCGAACAGGAGGACCCATTACCATAGACATGAGAGGACTGGCAGAGTAGAGGGGTTAGAGCAGAGAAACGCCATTTCTGCGTTTCCGTGCGCATGCGCAGTACGACCAGGAGGAGGAACATCTACGCGTTTCGGCTCCCGAGGCTGCGGTTCGCCTGAGCAGCACTGAAGGTCTCCTTCCTACTCTGAACCTTGGGTCTGAGGATGAGAGCCTGGGCGGGCAGGCTCTCCGGTCAGCCTCCATGCACAGCACGGGGGGGAAATTCACTTCCTGCTGCCCCAGGAGCATCCACAGCCATGCAGGGGCTGGCAGTGCGGGCAGCGCTCTGCCCTGAGCCGTGCTGGACCCCTGCGCTGCTCACACAGGTCCTGGTAGGTCACTGGAGCACAAAGGATGGGGGAAATGTGATCCAGGCTGGGCTCTGGCACCTCCGCTGCCACTCACAGGGCTACGACTCCTCGGTCTCTCCAAGAACTCCCAATGCACTTTTCCTGCTCGCTTTCAAATTAGGTTTTTAATTAAATAAATAACGGCGAGGGGCCTTCAAGGCAGTATCACTTCACAGTGTAGGGCATGAAGGTGGGAAGGGGGAAGAGTCCAGCACTGGGAGCATCTCCAAGTGAATGTGCTTTGTAAGAAAGAAAAAAAAAAAGAAAACCCCAACAAAACCAAACCTCCTCCCCCTGTGCCTCCCCTCCCCATCCCGGCCCTTTCCACCCCTCTCCCTTTTAAAGTGATGTGGAAAAATGCGCCGCGCTCTCCTGTTGACACGTTGAAAGACCCCATGCGAATCTGTAAACAACACTGAATAATATAAATAAGAGACACTTCTGCCTCCTCCAGCCTCCCCTCTGCTCTCATCGGGGCTTGAAACAAACCAAAGAAAAAAAAAAAAACAGTTTCAGGAAAAACTAAAAACCTTCTTGGCTGATGGAGAGGAGAAGTCAAGGCCCGGCCCTCCCTGGGAGGGCTGCAGCTGCTCTCTCCCTGCCCCCTCCTCTCCTTCCAGCCAAGGAGTTTTCTCTCTCCCCCAGAAAGGGGGAATCACAGCCTGGGAAGTTCCACTATGGAGCTGGCATTTGGATTTGCTTTCCATTTCCAGCAGCTGGGTGCAGCCAAAGACCTCTGTTTTACCATATGTGGTTTGCAGAGCGATGCCCGGTCACAAGAGCATTGTGTCAGGATCTTGGCACAGCTCAGCGTGGGCTGGGACTGAAACAACCCCCTGCTGGCATAGGGGAACAGGTCTGGGGCTCAGAAGGTGAGAGACGAGGTCTGATCCTAAGCCATCCCTTGAAGCTGTCTGGCGCTCTGTGCTCCCTCCGCAGGAGCGCAGCCTCACCGTGCCAGGTAAAACGAGGATCCAGGCTAATAGTTTTAGTCACCTTCCAAACCCACTGGCAGCAGAAGCAACTGCAGGATCACAGCCTTGAAGGCTTCTACCAAAATAAGCAAAAAAATCTTAACCCAAACCCTTTCTCAAACACAGAAAATGTCTGGAGGAAGGGAACATCTGCACCAGAGCCCTGCCTAGCAAGTCAGCAGAGAGAAGATTCCCTTCTCTCCTGCACGGGAGAAGGGAATGAGAACCATTAGTGGATTTAAGCCAGGGACAAACTCTAGAGCTGGCACACGTCTGTGACACCAATTGGCCACCACAGCTCCCTGCACAGCAGCCGGCCACCTCCTACCCACCCCATCACCTCCTGAGTGCTAATGGCAGTACAGACATCCCCTTCTCTCCTGTATGAGAGGTTGGTGTGATGTTTCAGGACAGAGGTGGGTGGAAAGGGAAGAAAGGAATGCCATGTGCTCTTCTGCTGGGTCCCGGTGCTGGCATTGGTGCCCTACACTCACTGGGTGCCCCAGGAGCTGAGGTGCACACTGTGTGCTCAAAGTGGCAGTGAGAGGATGGCTGGTGCTGCTGTGGGCAATTTTCTCTGATTCCAGCAGTACAGGGGCTGAAAGCTGTCTCCCCTCAGGCTGCATCCATCCCACATTTGGCATCACTGCCCCAGGGAGACGCAGGCCAGTGGTGGGGTCAGAGCAGCTGAGAGCTGCCCTGTGCTGGCACCTTCAGCTTCTCCATATTCACCTTCACACTTCTAGCTCCAGCCACTGTCCAAAGCGAGATTCAACTCAGAGATAACCGTTCCCTTCTTCTGCAAAGGAAGGTGGGAAAGGCTTCAGCATGCACCATGCTATCGCAGCGTCCATTTCCAAGCCCTGAAGCTTTGGCCAGAGGACTGGAAGAGTTTGCACCACCTCACCTGCAGCTGGGGGCAGCGTGGGCAGAGGGAAATGCACACTGCAGGAGCTTTGAGAGCAGCACTGTGTGCACCAACCACGACCCACAGCTCAGAGCGCAGGGAAGGGGAGGGGGGAGAGTGGCTTCTACTGCAATGCACTACATGTGGGTGAACAGCCAGGACTCCTCACCTTCCTTTGGCATCACCATGCTCACCTGTGCTGGTGAACAGCCCTCCAGCCCAAGCAGACCGTGCTCCATGCCGATTTCCTAAGCTCTCAGACCCTCTGTCCAAGCCCTGAAGTGCCCGTAACACATCCCTGTTTTCAAAACATCTCTTCACTCACTGTCCCATTGGGCCAAAGGGCACTTCCCCTGTACTGAGGGCAGGGATTTTCCCAACAGCCTGGCATTACCTGGGGTAACACATGGTCAACGAAATGGGGGGGGTCGTGAGCCTCCCCCCTCACTCAAGCCAGCCACCAGCTTTGCATGAGTGTGTCAGAACACGCTGGAGAAGAAATGTGTTTGGTTTCACTGTAGCCTTGGATCAAGGAGGATGGAAAGACGGATTCTGACCAAGAGCTCCAAACTGTCCCTACAGAACAGTGGAAGTTCCAGGATTTGACTCAGTCAGGTCCAAGTCCTTGCTGGGTCCGTGACAGGTTTGTGACTGAAGATTCTCACTGCGACAAAGGCTCTGACCGAGCCACAGGTGCTGAGCAGGCCTGATGAGCAGTCAGGAAACTATTTACATCTCCGATGCCAATGAGGCCAAAATCTGTGACCGATAAGGACACTTGAGCAGGGGCCACCGCTGCCTCTGGGTCTCTGCCCAAATCCACAGGGCCAGCAATTAAAGGCAAACCCTCATTAATGTCTGCAGGGAGAGTGAAGTCCATGGTTATCGTCTCACCAGAGCTTTGTAATGTCTCCTGCTTCTCTGCCAGTCCTGGTCCTGCTGGTGGCAAAGCAAAGAGCCCTGTGTCCGAGGGGGTGACAGCATGCCGTGTGCAGGAAGCAGAGATGGTGCCTGAGGAGGTTTCTTCTGCAGGGTCGAAGGAACAATTTGTCTCTGAAGGAGTACTGCACTCGTAGCCCTGTCCCGATTCACTCATGCTGCCCAGGCTGCAGGCTGTGCTCTCCACGCTCAGGGGCTCTGCGTGCAGCAAAGGAGGGAAATGTAAGGGAGACGGACAGAGAGGGAGGGAGGAAGGGGAGGAAAGCAGTGAAATAAAAGCATTTCACTTTGGAGTCCATAACGTATGAAAACCAGAATCCAGTTCAAATCCCACCTGTCCAGAACAGTTCTTTATCATAGCAAGCACAAATCCTGCCAGCATCTACTAAAGAAAGGCAGGCAGCTGGTAAGGGGGCATTGGTGTTTCTATAGAAATTAAAAGGAAATCTCAGGCTCTCCAATATAAACCCCATCCTAAACTCCAGCCCCTCCAGCACCCGGCAGGTGCCAACACGAAGCCCTTCTCGGTGGTAGGACAGAGAGAGGGAGTGAACCCAATTCAGTCTGAGTCTTCTCACAGCTCTGAGAGCAGTTCACAGGTACAGACTGACTTCTGGTGCTTCAAATCAGCCTCTGGAGAACACACCTGTGCACATTAACTAAATCAGGAGCATTGGAAACAACTCAATACTGCAGGTGCCCAAAGTCAGTGCATTCTCTTGCTTTGGGAATGCCACGGGCCATTCTTCTGCATGTGAAGCAGGACCAACTGTAAGTCAGCTCCAGAAAAGTCAGTGCTCAGCACTGCAGAGAAAGCCAAGTCTCCTTTTACAGGCACCATACTCTGTGAGCACACTGACACGACCCAGGGAAAAGAGCAACTGCTGGATAATGGCAAGAGGAGAAAGGCGAAAGGGGGGTCCAGCTGCTGAGTGATGGAGAGGAGGATAACTCCTCTCCCGTGGTAAACAGAAGGGAAGGCAGTTACCTGTGCTCTCAATTGCTAGCTGGTCTTGGCCAAAGTGAGAATCCAGGCAGCTGGTGGCAGAGGGGATGGGAGGGGAGCTCCGAGAGCGGCTGGCGTTTTCCACCTCACCCCCATCCAAATCATTGTCAGTGTAATCCCTGCAGGGAAAGGCAGACAGCACTGTGACCACCCACAAACCAGAGAGATGTAGGCAAGGAAGGATCCAAACCCACCAACAAACAAAGCAACAGGGCTGCAGGGGGCTCACAAAAAGGAACGTCCATCGCTTCTCGGTCTGCAGAACCCAGTTTAGGTTCTGGCACGGAGGCAATCGCAGTTAAGTCTTAAATATTTTGATCTGACCTTTCAAAGCATTTCAGCTTCAACCTTTTAGAAGAGCATTTGCTGTAATTAACGTAGATTGCAATTTGCCTCAAAGGGGAGCGTCTGGGAAATTAATTAATTCACCTCCAAAACATCAGAAACTGAGTGCATGGAAAAATCCTATCCCTGAAATTTCATCCATCTTGAGATTAGCCCTGAGCCCCCAATCCCAACCTCTGTCATGAATGCATTTATATGAAAAAGAAAGCAGTATTTTCTGGCCTAAGTCAGTTCAGATCCAAGCACATATTTGCTTAACCATCCCTTCCCACACCAACGGTGGCTTAACTTCTGACAACTACGTGCTCCCACCCCAAAAAACCTTCCAGAGCTGACAGCACAGCCTTTACAGTGGAGGTGCTTTGCAGCAGGGATCTTCACAATATTACTAATTTTAGTGTGAGAATATTCCACGCACGTGGCTCCAGGGTGGAGGACGTACTTCTTCCTTCCTAAACGAGTCTGCTGAGTGAAGTAGTCGTAGCGTTCTGACTTCTTCCACATGTAATAATATTCCACACATTCTCCCACTGACCGAGTACGGACCTGAGGAGGAACAGCACAGTCAGCACCCAGCTGTGTGTGTCACAGAGCAAGGGCTGCTCACCCGTTTTTATCAGCACAGAAAGTCAAGTGCGTGGCGGTGATGTTATTGCTACGGACACATCTACACTGCAGAACAGAAGCAGATACTGAGATTTCCAAGGTGGTAATCAGCCAGAGAAGGATTTCCCCGTGGTGCAGAATTGTTCTTGCAGACCCCAGTGTGGGCTCACACACAGTACGTTCATGCAGGACTTTCCTGCACCTCCATAGCACACTTAACATCAAGAGAGCAAACCTGCATCCATTTTCACTGGCCAGAGTCAACATGCCCACAATGAATCAGCTGCAGAACTGGACTCTCTGGTTCTGCCAACTCCCAGCACAGCAGCATATGTCCTGGGGCCCAGTTCTCCCTACAACAGCATCTTTCATTCTAGAGGACCCCAGGGGACTTTACAAAACATCCACATGCTCAACTCACTCATTCACAGAAGGTACTGCAAGGGCTGAGAGTTTGGAAAGAACTTTTTGAGACTTCCAGAAAGGGCTAATCAGTAATTAACTGACATCACTCATGCAGGCCAGTGTTGTTTGTGACTTCTCCCACCTGGAAAATAAGGCAGAGCAGGGCAGTGAACAGCCCATCACCTGCTAGCATGAGTCAACACAAAGCCCGGGGTTGGAACTCAGCAGTTCTGCACTTCCTGCATTAGCCAAGGCTCCAAATACACCTCTGTCTCATTCCCTCTGTCTTAGTGGGATGCAGGGCTGAACATTCTTACCTTGTTTGCCTGGATAAGATGGAAGTTTTTCCCATGGACCCTGAAGCCGTGTTCAAAATTTCTACATTCTTCTTCACTCCACGCACAAAGCTCATCTAGAGGGAAAAAAAGAGAGAAATGGGGAAAAATGCACAGAATCCAGGAAGAATTCTGTGCACCTTGATTTTGGGGTAGAACCCAGACAGGGAGTTCTCACCTCTGATAACCTTCACGTTGAACCGCAACCTCCGCAATGCCTCTTCTGCATTGAAGTTGCATTTCACCAGCTCGTACAAAGCCTAGGACACAAAAGAAAGTGGCTGACGGCGTGTAGGAGAGAAACAGACCAGAAGCAGAGCTCCTCCCGACTCACATCTGCCTTCTAACACTTATTTTTCCCTGGGAGTCATTTTGCCATTAGCCTCAACTTGGCCACCAGCCTGTGTTATGCTATTTCTCATTTGCACAGCGCTGGATTACAAACCCTAGGACTGAGAAGATGCAATTCTACCAGCAGCTCTAGAGATTTCTGGTGTGCTTCTGTATTTCTACAGATACTGGGGCTTGCTGTGAGAATCCAGCCTGGCTGGCTCATGGGAAACACAACTGCTCTGAAGTTTCTCCAGAAGTTTCACCTTCTGCTGGCTTAAAAGCAAAGGACACAGAATGCACAGAGGGCAGATCCAAAATGATGATCATGCCTGAGGGCAGGGAGGCCCTGCAGAGGGATCTAGATAAGCTGGATCGCTGGGCCAAGGTGAATGGGATGAGGTTTAACAAGGCCAAGTGTCGGGTCCTGCACTTTGGCCACAACAACCCCATGCAGCATTACAGGCTTGGGGATGAGTGGTTGGATGATTGTGAAGAGGAAAGGGAGCTGGGGGTGTTGGTTGATGCTCGGCTGAACATGAGCCCACAGTGTGCCCAGGTGGCCAAGAGGGCCAACGGCATCCTGGCCTGCATTAGAAATGGCCAGCAGGAGCAGGGAGGTGAGCATCCCCCTGTACTCAGCTCTGGTGAGGCCGCACCTCGAGTGCTGTGTTCAGTTTTGGGCCCCTCACTACAAGAAAGACATTGAGGCCCTGGAACGTGTCCAGAGAAGGGCAATGAAACTGGTGAGGGGTCTGGAGCACAAGGCTTATGAGGAGTGGCTGAGGGAGCTGGGATTGTTCAGTGTGGAGAAGAGGAGCTCAGGGGAGACCTCACTGCTCTCTACAACTTCCTGAAGGGAGGCTGTGGTGCAAAAGGGTCTGGCCTCTTCTCCCAGGCAAATAGTAGGACCCGAGGAAACGGCCAGAAGTTCTACCAGAGGAGGTTTAGGTTGGATATTAGGAGAAACTTTTTCTCTCAGAGGGTGGTCAGGCACTGGAATGGCTGCCCAGGGAGGTGGTGGAGTCGCCATCCCTGGCAACTCAAGGGCGCCTGGATGAGGAGCTACGAGATGTGGTTTAGTGCTTGTGGTACTGATAGCAATGGGAGGGGGGTTGGACCAGATGATCTTGCAGGTCGTTTCCAACCTTGTGATTCTGTGTGTGTGTGTGCTGCAAGCTCTGCCTCAGAGGTTTTGCAAGGGCAGGATGAAGAGCCTCCAAAGAGCATCTGAGGGCCAGTCTCACTCATCTGGGAAGCAGGAGGAGAGGATCGCAGGAGGGTGGCCCCATCCTCTTGTAAGTGAGCCTTTTCAGGATCTCTGAAGGAATGTTGCACCATTATGATAGAATTTTACCTTAACAGTATCTCTGGTTACCAGGGTTTACCTGTTCGTTGTCTTTCACCATCTCTCCTTCTGGCAGGCTGCTGCTAGACAGCTCGTCCCACCGCCGCTTCACGGCACGGTATAGGAACTCTTCAACCTCTCTTTCAGGTAGGATGTTTGGGTCCCAAAGCAGCTGATCTTCATTTTCATAGGCTAACAGGAAAAGCACTGAAATAAGCTCAGAGAATCCCACTGCTTTTGAGAAACAATCAGCATGGACATGCACTGCAGAGATAGGAGGAGAAAGAAAACCTTTGTTTGGACTCCAAGCTGGCACCAGAGATGGCAGCCATCTGTGTGAAGGCACTGCACCTTTCCCTCCTGATTTTGGAGGCAGATGAGCTTAATACTGCTTATACCTCTTTTAGAGCCCCAAGTATAGGCTTGACTCATTTCCACTTCTTCACAAGGGTTGGCTGGTGAGTTTTGTTGTTACCACGTTCTCTGTTGCTTTGATTCATTAATCTTAGCAACTCAAAAACTGTAGGTTGTAAGGTGTCTTTTCCCACATGCAGGAAACATAAGAATGAGGAAGAAAAGGCAGCTTTCAGCAACAAGTCTGGCCTGGGCTCAACACTCTCTTCATCCCAGAAACAAAACTAAGCAGCTGCAAAGCTGTGCTAGCTTGTAATGCTCCTCTATGAGCTGCTCCATCCACATAAAATAGCAGCAGCACAAAGCATCACTCTGTGCTTACGGCCCCTTTTAGGTTTCAAGGCTCTGAGTCCACGAGAGCAGGGCACAAAGCAATGTGTTTAAGTAAAATAAACAGCACGGAGGAAAGCAAAAAGGGATTCTGCAGTAAAAATAACCAGAAATACAGTGATTTCATTTCCTGCTCAGATAACAACCATCAGCTTCATGTTTCACCTGTTCACTTCTTTCTAGAGGCAAAGGAACCTTCCTGCCACATGAAGTCAGGTCAGAGGAAGCACTGGCAGGGCATAAAAAAGATCCCTGTGTGGATCTACTGTCAGTTTCCTCTCATTTCATGCTGATGCAAACATACACACTGCATGAAACGCACTAAACCTGTGATCTTTAGCACAAAAGGCTGAGAGCACCTTTTTTCTCCCCTTTAACGAAGTTGCTTCCAGTCTGCTGGGTGAAAAGAACCAGTGAGGAAGTGAGTCATTTCTAAAAGAGCTGCTTTTCTGTTAACCATCTTCTTCAGAACCTCCACATGCTGCTGCTAGCAATGCACTCGTTACTAATCTGCACATCAGCATGTCTGCACAACTAATTAGGAACTGTCAGCTCCAGGTGTATCGACTGGAAGTAACTCTTGCTACTTCAGGAAGATGCCAGGGAAGAAGACATCACAGCATCTTGCTTTGGCTACAGATGAGCTCCCCTCCTCCTAACCTGCCATGCCAAGCCAGTTTTCATGGAGCTTCTGCAGTTCTATGACCAGCCAAATCCAAGCAAACTAGTTTAAAGCTAGCTGTAAATTTTGATGTTGATACTGAGAGATGCCAAGATGAGAGATACCAAATAGATTTAGTGATCCAGAGCCCATCAAATCCCCAGGACAGCAACCCTACACCCAAATAAGACACAGCAAGGAAGCTGCCTTACCTTTTTCACTGTGCCTGTTTAAGTGCAGGATGGGAACAGTGGCTTGGAACTGAGGTCCAATGCTGATGTCCTGAAATACCATCACAGAGAGTTGGGTAAATGGAACAGGCTGCATGTTTACTTCAGTAAATAAGCAGGCACTGAGTTTACTTCCTTATTTAAGGACTGTGACACCACGAGGCCAGGCTACAGCTGCAGTCCCCAGTGTCACTGTTACTTCTAGGAACTCTGATACTTTATAAGGTAGCTAGAAAGATTTACAACTAGGCAGAGCAAACTTCAGGGACCTCAGGCATTTACACTGTTCTGATGTTGGATATACAGCAAACAGCTGAGGATGGACAGCAAAAATGTGCTAAAGGCTTCCTGCAACCTTCATAATCAGGATGAATTTGGAGTCTGCTCCTCCCTTTGATAAGATGGTTTCCCTCCAGTAAAGCCCACTGGGAATACTGCCCAGCAATTCCCTTTTATGGGGCTCCACAGTGCCCTTTTGACTTACCAAGGCACAACAGCACTTTGCATACGTGAAGCAGAAAACTGATAAGAGATTTTGAGATCACATTAAAGAAACACTTCCAATCCACGGATGCCACTTCCACAAAACACAAGGCACCGAGCAAAAGAAAGTTAAAGCAAGAACACTTGCTTGAGGGATATCACAGTGCTTTTGTGTCATGTTTTCCTCAGGCTCTGGGACACTGCCTCAGCTCCCCTTCTGGATGTGCTTCAACCATTTACCTTCTTACACTCGCTAGATGGCATGGAATCCTCCTCTGATTCCTCAGCCATGGAGGAAGCACATGGAGATGAGCAGGGCTCTTTGTCTTCATCAGCAAGGAAGTTGTTTGCTTTGTGGAGAAGGGAAAGATTTGTTGTTATGAAACGATTTATTCCTATTGCTCCCTCTTCTTCCCTTTATTTTCTGTCTTAAAGTCGCTTTCAGAGTGGCCCTCAGTGACAACTTCCCCATACTTCCACTCTTCCCTTTTAAATAAAATGGGTGATGCCAACCAAGCCTTCATTTTGTGAGGCAGCAGCAGGAATAAGATCACTTCACATCGAGTCTCTCACGCATTTCAGCTTCATACCTGATATTTAACTGCCACAATACATCAGGCCATTACTGCTACTGAATTTATTCCCTTGTAGAGATGTCAGACCCAGCACTGGTCTTACAGACTATAATTGCAACAGGTAGCAAAACATTTCTCACTTTCTCACTGTTATGAATTATAAACACAGCTCTCTCCTGATCCCAAGGCTCCACTCAAACTCACGTCCAACTGATGCTGGGTGACCCCACCAGCACACAAGTTTATTCACAGCCCCCAGAAGGAACATGGGGAAATTTATGTCCGGGAATTTAGGGACAAAGTAAAGAAATACATCCCTGCTTTACCCTGCAGATCACATCTAAGTACAAAACAATTACTTAGAAATTAGCAACACGTACAGCCAGGCTGGTTTGGGAATAGGTCTGATGCATCGTGGGAGGTGACCGACGGGGTCAGATCATCTGCTGAAGACTGTGTCTCCTCTTCCTCCCCTGAAAGCAAATCCTTCGCTATTTGTTCCTTTTAACAACAACAAGAAAGTGAAAAACAGTTTAGATTAAAAAAAGAATTACATGAAAGCAGGAAAGGGGGTAGGGAGCAAGGTGTAGAGGAAAGCACTTCTGCCCCAGAGTGGCTGCATCCACAGCTCTCCTCACCCTCCCACAGCTTCAAAGACAGATTCTCCCTCCTGCTCCCCATCACCCCTAGATTATTCACCCTTGAAGCACTCCTCTAAGGGTTCAGAGGAGAGTGGACTCCTATGGAAGCCAGAGATAGGTTAGCCAGCACTAAAGGTAGATCCAAACCTTCCCTGTCTATTCGCAGACTCACCTTACGAGCCAAGAACTGTTAACAAAGTTCCATACAGAGTTGTGACAGAGTCTTTTTTCAAAGCCCTCTTTCCTCCAGCCTCCTCCATACTCTGTATGTTCATTCACATTTCTGCACCTGGTGTTTTTCACTGGGGCACCAGAACCAGGCAGACCCCTTTCCTTAGCATCCCCCAAACTCCCTTTGAAAAGAGCCACCAGACACGTGGAGCCCCAAGGCAGCACAGCAAGCTGCAGTGCAGGCCACCAGCACACACCCAAGCTGACAGCTGCTCTTACCTTATCCAGAGTCATATCAGGGAGATTTGGAGGGATGTCATTGCTCTCGCTGTCCTGCTCTGAAATGGGATCGGATGCCTCATAGCCATAAAGTGCAAGCAGCTCCTCAAATGGCATTTCACTGCTCTGAGCGAGAGGAGGACAAAGCTTCATCAGGCATGGAACAATCACCGAGAACAACAGCAGCTGCAGTGAACACAGAGATATGCAGAGGCAGTCATGGCAGCTCTGCTCTTCTGGGGGCTCTGAGTGCCTTGGGTAATTGCAGCACAATGAATGGAGGCATGGTCTTCCACCACAACCTGTTTTTCTCCAAGGTAAGGACAAGCCAGGAAATTTCACCCCCAAAACAACACAGTCGAAGTATTTTAGAAATACATTTCTACCAGATTTCATGCTGGTGAAAAGATGCCAAACAGTAAAACTGTAGTGATACAGAAGAAGAGATGGAGCAAATCCCTGTACTGCTCTTGGGCCAGACCTGAAGAGCAAGAGCACGCTTTGTGTTCCACTGAGGCCCCCATGGGGATCATCCACCAGAGAACCACATTGTCTGTTCTCTGTGGCTCCTCTCCACCATGCAATGGATGCTGCACATGCAGCCAACAGCTGATGGCTCCTTGATAACGTGTGTGAAGGAACAGCAGTCAGTGGGTACCTGGCAGACCATCACGTACTGCTGCCAGCTGCTGAAAGACCAACTCCTTGCTATCCAAATTCAGATCTAAGACCTATTGGTGGGTGGACTTAAACACAGCACAGAGCAAGCAAAACAGTTTCCCACAAGGATCTTTGGTGCCAGTACTGTCAAAGAAAAACAAGAAAATCCATCAGGTAATTTCCCCTTCCCCTCCCTTGCTGCCTTTACCTGAGAGGCACTGAAACTCTTCTCCAGCTCTTCTAAAGACTTCTGTTTCTCCTGAGCATCATCTTCTTCTTCCCTTTCTTCCCGTACGCCGTAGTTCTGCGAAAGGATCTCTGCTAGGTTCAGTCGGTGATCAGCTGAGCCCATTGACACAACTGCAGGGATTAAAACAAGTTGGACACCAGCACCACCCTGAACCCAACCTTCTGATGCAACAAAACCTGACGCGACCCCTTCTTGCTTGCATGTGCAGCCACAATAAGCCAGAGGAAGAGATTAGGCAGAAAAGAGTGAGAAAGAATGGAAACAACTAAACAAAGTCCTTCTGTGAGCACTACAAGCCTGGCTCCCTAAACATTCACATCCCATGACTGTTTCCCAAGTATTTATGCTCCTCTCTAAGCTGGATTCTCTGATGCCATTCATCTGAATGCACGCTGCAGCTTTTCCTTCATTGGAGGCATTTTCAGGATAACACTGGGAGAACAGCAAAGGGACATTTGTAGGAGCTTTGGCATCATTCAGGCTTATCCATCAAATGTCATCCGAATCAACCAAGGGGTTCCAAAGATGTTGGAAGGAGAAAGGGAGGAAACAGACAGACTGACCCCAGGAGCACGGATTCCTCTGGAAATCAGACCAACAAAACAGAAGGACAAAGCATGGCTACCTGCTGCGCTCTGAAGGCTGGGCTCTCCAGGACAAAGGCTGTGGGCTGGGTATGGTACCACCCTGGGGCTCTGCCTGCCCACCGAGGCCTTGAAGGAAAGAGAAAAATCTGGCTGAGACATCTCTTAAGAACGTAAGGCACCTCTTAACCCCACCAGTAAATGCAATCAGTTTCATTTCAAAGCAGAAGTTAATAAAAACCACACAGGGTAGCACTGGAAATCGTGCTGTGCGAGAAGAACTCATTAGGTGCATGGAGCAGCTCTCCCAGGGCTCTGCTCTTTGGGTTCTGCACCTTCCCTTCAGTCTCTAAGTGCATATGGGGGAGCTTCCACCTTACCTTCAGCGCTCTGCTAATTAATTATCCTCTCATCAGCTCCAGACCTCAGGTCTTTATGGTTTACACGCTCACTTAAATGAAGGATTTTAACCCCAAATACACACATCACGCTGTGTTGGAACACAGCACTTCCAGGACCTGAGCCACTCTTTGGAGATGCGATCAGACACGGCCGTCCACCACCACGTCAGCTTCTCCCTGAGGCCTCACCACATTCAGGAGACTCAGAGGGGCCAGGCAAGAAATTCAGAGCTGGGTAAGCAGGAAAGGAGCCTGGGAGGTGTGAAAGTAGCAGAGGTGAGGTAGGAAGAGGTGAGGCAGGCGGATGGTGAGAACAGGATCCTGCCTTTTGGCATTCAGTGCGTGGTCAGAAGTTCAGGCTGAGGCCTGAAAAGCAAAGCAGAACAACTGCAGCTCCCTGGGCTGAGGGACGTGGAAATGCTGTTCATCAAGTTCAGCCCAGGTAGGGAGCAAGCAGGTAATTAAGTGATGCCTCTGAGCTGACTGAGAGCATCTGATGGCAGAAGGAAGTCAGAGCATCAGTCCAGCACAGTCATTGCTGACATCTCGTTGTGATCCTCTTTGTGAGCCAGGGCATTTAGGGTGCTTCAGTGCAAGGCTCTAAAAGCTTAAAAAACACAGGTTCCTATCAAAACTGATCCTCTGAAAGGAAGAATGCACCAAAACAGCACTCCAGGCTTTGGTTTAGAAGGCAGCAGATGTTCCCATCAAGACAAAGACCAAGAAGGAGGGAAGGCAAGGATGTGTGAAGCAGCCATGGAACTCCTGTTCCTTCCCCTGCCCAGAGCAGTGAAACAAGGATGCCTCAGTCCCAGCTGAGGTGCACAGCGTGCTGCAATCCATCATCCCTGGGGCCTGAGCTTTAGCAACAGGGTCACCCCACTGCAGACCATTCTGGCTGCAGGCAGAGCGCACAGAGAAGAAAAGAGAGGAGGAATTTGTGGGCTAACGGAAGGGAAGAGTTCAGCCAACCTCCATTTTGAGAGCAGTCGTGCTGGGAAACGGATTCATAACGCAAGAAAGTTCAATGTCTCTTTGTCGGTCCACGCCAGAATGGGACAGAGCACAAAACCCTCTTGGATAAATCCATCCAAACAAATAATCCCAGTCTGGTAAGGATGAGAAGGGTGTGGGCTTCACTCCCTTTTGCCTCGAGTGATGTGCAGAGCTCCCTGTCCTGAGACAATGATCCATATATTGACTGTGCCTCCTTCACACAGGGATCAATGCGGAGCTGCACACAAAGGATTCTGAACGAAGACTGAAAGCAGCAGCAGCCGCTTTGTCAAGCAGGGCTGGCTTGAAAAGGTGTCAGAACAGTTCAGGGATGATGAGCTCTAGAATTAAAGATCAGATGCTACAACAAAGAGTAATAGTCAATATGGCAGGATGACAACCCAGTAACTAAGCACTGGTTTATGTCCACAAAGCACTAAGGCAGCATTAGGGAGAGTGGGAACTGCTGTAAGCTGGAGGTCACCATGAAACGATTGGCACTGCTGTGTTTGGCTTGAGAAAAGAAGAAAAACTGAACAACCCTTCAAATTATTAGGAATTAGGGGAACAGACAAGCCAGAGGAATAAGTGGGAAAAGAGGGTCTGGCTTAAATAGGTAAATAATGACAGAAAGAATATTCCTGATGCCACGTGATGGGTGGTTATTCCATGTGAAGGCGAGGAGCTGCAGTCTGACACTTCAGATGCAACCATCAGGCAGGAGGAAGGAAACACAACAGCATTACGTGCGTTGGAAAGAGCAGGAACACCAAGGCATCATCAGATGCCCCCAGATCAAGAGTGGTGTCACCTACTGCTGGTGGCAGCTCCGTCCCCACAGGAGACAACAGCAGTGATCTCCATTCACCTCTACAGTGAACCACGAGGTTGGAAAATGGCTCCTCCATCCATCGGTCACTTGGGAAAGGAAAAGGTATTCCCAGCAGCAGTTCCCCTTCCATTACTCTCTGCTTCTCAGGCATAATCACAGAATCACTGAATGATTTGGGTTGGAAAGGACCTCAAAGATCATCCAGTTCCAACCCCCTGCCTCTCCCAAAAGTCACACAGACGTTGACCCGTTATCCAATCTCTTCTTCGTATTTTTAGATGTTTCCAGCACTCCATTCTGTGTTCTGGACTCAAGTTTTTGAGCACATCAGACCAATCAAGAGTTGTGTCTTACACAAAGGAAGGGCACAGACAAAGCTGTTCTCCATTGCAGCGCTGACTGCGATTGTCCAGAGAAGGAAAGTCTCTCAAGCTGAAGCAACTCTTGCAAGAAAGTGAGGAAAAAGAGAGAAAACTTCTTCTAACATCACTATTTTAATAACTGAAGTGATTTCCTGAGCTAGTTTAACACGTATTTTGAACTCTATGAGAGTCGACTTGGATTTGCTTTCTACAAACCCCAGTGGTAGCCAGAGGAAAGCGGTGTGGATGGGAACACATTTGTGCTGTATCCTACGCAGCTGAAGGAGCAAAACATTCACAAAGGCCACATCCTGCACTGCCCACATCTCTTGTTCTGGTGATGCCATAAGGGACACCCGTGCTCCAACCTCATCAGCGTGGCCCTGTGCTGTCCCAAAGGCAAAGGGATTCGTTGGTCAACCTCACATCAAAGCAACAGCATAAACAGGAATGCAGCACTGATGCTCCAAAGGCCAAAATGAAGATGGTGCTGTTCTGAGCGGGACAGGCAGAGGAGTGCTGTGATGTCCCAACAGTGAAATCTGCTGCTCTGATAGAAGCTGTTGTCCCACGATGAACAGCAGCCAACGCAGTGCTCCCAGTGCAGAGCTCCCAGTGCTCCCATCAATCCCACGTGCCTCCATCACCACGAGGCCCAGCAGTGTTTGGGAAGCGCCAGGAGATGTCAGAGCAATGCAAGGCGATGGGTCCAGCAGCAGCACCAGGAGAAGCCAAGGGGTCCCAGCCCAGCACCCCCACGGGACAAACCCCCCTCCCAATGCTCCTTCCCACGGTTCTGCCTCCAAATCCCCCCGGGGATCCCATCAGATCAAACTCCCGCACAGCCCCGCTCCGCTCCGTGCCCGCTCTCGGCTCCAGGCCCAGCCCCGCTGCTTCCAGAGCCCCTCCGTCGCTCAGGCCCTCGCCCCCCACACAACCGGGCCCAAGGCCCGGCAGCTCCCGGCTCGGAGCCGGCCCCGCTCCCCGGAACCCATCCACGGACACTGCATCCCGCAGGGATCCAACCCGGCCCAAAAGCGATGCGGAAGACGCGGCCCCATCCCGGCTCCGGCCCGGCGCGACCCCACCGGCTCCGCACTCACCTCCGCCATGGCCGGGCGCGAGCGGCGGCGGAGGTTGGTGGGGGAAGGGGGGAAGGGGGGAGAGCGGGACCCGGATGTGGCGGCGCCCGCTGATTGGCTGCGGCGCCACGAGGGCGGGGGGAGCGGCGGAGGCGCGGCGGGGTCAGAGGTCAGAGGTCAGGGGGCGGGGCTAAGCGGAGCGCGGGCTGAGTCCGGCCCCGGTGCATCGCGGATCCCATTCGGAGTGCGGGGCCCGAATCCGGAGAGCCGCGGAGAGCTCCGAGCCCCGGCAGGCCGGAGCGGGCGGAATCTGAGCCTCAATCACAGCGCTGTGATAAAGGCGGGGCCGGGTCTGAGGCCCGGCCGGTACCGGGGTGTCGGTTCTGCTTTGGGCTCCGTTTCGGAGCTCCAAACCCACAGAGAAGCGGCTCCAGGTTGCCGTGTGAGTCCAGGTTCACTCAGACGCCTCCTTCCCTTCAGCCTGGAGGAGGCAGAGCTGCAGTGCCCCAAAAGTTTGGAAATAAGGAGTGATTGCAGCAAATCCCTTTTAGCTCTCCGTAGCCGGTGGTGCCCAGGGCCACGATTTAGCACTGGGTGGTTGGGGTAGGATGGTTTGGTTGAGGTTGGGCTCGATGATCTTGAAGGTCTTTTCTAACCTGAGCAGTTCCACGGTTCTGTGATTGCCCATCTCTGCTCTGTTGTGCAGTGCTGTGCCAGAAGCACAGTTTTCCAGTGACCTGGATCTGCGCCCATGCCAGCTTCCAGCTCTCTGCTTAATGACTGCTGTGACAGCTGCCAGGCTGTGCCTCTCCCAGTGTCTGTGCCCAAACTGTTACACTGTGTCATCAGAATCAGCACAGAATTCGCCACCATCCTTCAGCCACCTGATGCAGTATCGTCCTTGGAAGCTGTTGGGGTGGGCAATGGCAGCTGCTTGGGCTCTACAAAGCCCAAGTATTGGGAAAATGAGGTATCTAAATACGTACATTGACATGTGTGTATCTGACAGCCCAGCAGAGGGTAGGAGGTGGGTGAAGGCAGTGGGGGAGAAGGGATCTGTCCCCCTCTCAACCCCTCCCCCTGCTCTGCCCATCCATCTTGCAGGACTGAAACCCAATGGCATCTCTTTGCTCAGAGGATAGCACAGCCCTGGGGTGCTCTGGGAGTGGAGGTGGAGCAATACAAGCCCTGGGCTGGGGGCTGCAGGATGCCCCACACTTCTCCTGGTACCCCGTCTGTCTGTCTGCCTTGGAACTGTGAAGACAGACACACAGCAGAGGGATGGGGGGCCGTAGAGATCCTCAGAGCTTAATCCTCCTGCACAGCCTCCTTCCTCTGCTCAGATCATCCCGTGCAGATGCTAATCTGCAGGAGGGAAGAAAAAAAAAAAAAAAGGATTTCACATTTAATTGTGGAACATAAAGACGTTGCGGGGTCATTAAAACACCATGAATATGGAAATGAAATCCACAGGTATCCATGCAGGTAACGGCAGGGAGCCGCAGGTAATGCTGGATGGTGGAAAGGTTGGCTCTGTCCCAAGGCATCATTAACCCCTGCTATAGGGCCTCGTGTCACAGCCACAATCTGCTCTGAGATGAGCCCCTGGGTAAGCAGGGCTGCACCTCATGGGGTGCAGGCAGCAGGATCGGCCACTGAGCACTGCCTGGGTGCAGGGGAGATGCAGGCACTGCAGGGACAGCACTGGGTGCCACTGCCCAGCTGCACTCAGCCCACCTGGATCGATCCCAGCCACAGCTGGGAAACTTTCCTCTTCCAGTTCCCATGGAAACGAGGGATTTTCTTCTCCCCAAACTTGAGCCCTCTGCAGGGACTGCAGGGCCAGGCAGCAGGCAGTGCTCAGCAGGCACAGCCCGTTTGCTGGAAGCTGCCAATTTGAACACACAGAATCATAGAGTTGGAAGGGACCTTTAAAGATCCAACTCCCTTGCAACAAACAGGGATACCCACAGCCCCATCAGGGTGCCCTTCCAAAGGCACAGAGCAGAGGTACGGATGCTCCTCCAGGGCTGCTCCTCCAGCCCTCTACATCCCCCATTTCTATCTCAGCTCCAGTGAGAGATCTCATGTGCACAGAGAGAATGCAGCCATTAGAAAGAAGAAAACATTTAATACTTTTATTCAGAGATACAAGTTGAGATTTGGGAGTCTTTTTTTTTTCTTTTTCTTTTCCCCTTTACAAACCATTACAAAAAAGGTCTTGCAAGTTGTCCCAGCTGACAGACTCATCTCCATCCACCTGAGCAGGAGCCAGCAGCCCTGGGCCACGGCTGCAGCCCTCAGTGGGGCAGGGACAGGGCACTGAGGCCATCGGTCCCTTCGGCCCCCTGCACTGCTGGGAGCTGGGGGAGAAATCCACGTGTGCTCCCACATCCTGCACCAGGAGGGAGGGTCAGGCACTGGTGCCAGACGAGGGTCAGCCCAAGGTGTAGCAGGGGACCAGACGTACATCAACATGCATGGTTAAAAACATTAAAAACGTTCTGTGTAAATGTAACAGGAGATGGAGTAGCTGCAGTGTGGGGCTGGCAGGGAGCTAAGGCTTGCATGCGTGGCCAGGAGGTTGCTGGTCAAGAAATGCAGTGCCAGAGCCCTGCCAAGTGCTGCAGCAGAGGTGCCAGGCCCCCAGAGCAGGGAAACCATTTTTCTATCAACACTGGAAAAGCAAGAAATGGAGCTCAGGAGCTGTGGATGCAGCGCTGTGCTCTCTTCCCCAGGAGCTGAGCACTGTAGCTCCCAGCCCCGTTCCAAAACGTGTATGGGGAAAGAGGCTGGGAGCAGCCAGAACAGCCAGGAGCAGGGCAGAAGGGGTGCAGAGATATAAGATGCCTTTTCCACCAAACGCATTTGCAGGGTGCAGAAGCTGAAGGTCACAGAGCCCAGGGTGCAGCTTCTCCCAATGGGTGGAGATGGCCATGGGGAGGGGGCAGAGGAGGGGCAGCAGGAAAGGCACATGAGGATTAACCTGGTCCAAAGCAAGCAGCCCCAAGGAGCAAGCAGAGGGACTGCAGCTCAGCCTCATGGGGTTCTGATGGGGAGAACAAGCACAGAGCTAGCAGGTGAGAGGATCTTGCATGGGACCATTCTGCAATCTGCTCTGCCTCACCATGGGCAGGAGCATTCACCTGCCTCCCTTGTCTGGAGCTAAGAGTTGGACTCGATGATCATTAAGGGTCCATTCCAACTTGGGATATTCCATAGGCAGACCCTGGGCTGCAGCCCAAACTGCCCCTTGAGTCCCCCTCAGTTTTGCAGGTAGAGGCTGCAGCAGGAAAAGCCCAAACTTCAGAAGCAGCCCAGCTTAAAACATTTCCAGGGCAGAAAGGAATTGAACCGTGCCGTGCCACGGAGAGGACAGAGAGCCAGCACCATGCATCAGACATCTCTGCCCCTCTCCAGGGAGGGGAGGGACAGCACAGAGGCTCAGCACTGCCTTGAGCTGGTGTAGTGTTCCATCTGTGTCATAGTGTTGCTCTGCTCCGTGCTTTCTCCACTGAGCCCTGGCTCTGGGGTGCTGAGGAAGCTGAGTCCCTTCCCACAGCAGCTGGGTGTCAGATTGAGCAGGGGCTGTAGGCTGAGGGGAGGTGGGTAGTGTTCAGGGGCAGATGCCCACACCATCCTGAAGGAGGGGCAAACCTCTCACCCCTCCACGAGGCTCAGGGCTGCTCAGCACCGGGTGACCTGGGGTAATGATCAGCATGAAGGTCATGCACCCCGGCTCTCCAGCACAGCCAACCTGGTTCATACGGAAAGTGGACCAAAGGAAAGACAAAAACTGGACAGGGAGAGGCCTATGACCCAGCTTGAACGTACAGACTGGAAGAACCTGGCAGGATTCATAAAGTACCTAAGTTCAAGCACCAGAAGGACACAAAAAAAAAAAACCAAAACAAAAGACAAAACATATTCTCCAGGATAGGGCTGTCTGACCCTTCTGGCTTGTTCCCTGGTGGCAAACTCACCCCGAGATGATACAGGAAATGGCCGTGTCTTCTCTCCCCACCTCACTAGAGGGCTCGTGTCAGGACAAACGTGGAATGCAGGCTCGGCCCTGCGCTGTGAGGGGGCACGAGTGGAGAGGAACGGGGAGAGCTGCCAATTCACTGAGGTAGCGGAACCAGCACTTCCACGTAGTTGAGTGGGAAGAAGCCTGACTGGCCATTGATCATGCCCTCGTACCAGTTTTCATCGATCTGGTTGGTCAGGGTGATGATGTCGCCTTCCTTGAAGCCAAGCTCACCATCGTTCTCGGGTTCAAAGTCGTAGAGCGCCTTGCAGCAGGGCTGGTCCAGGTGAGCTGTGGGGAGAGTGCATGCAAGGGGTGAGGAGGCCGCCTACAGTCCTGCCCCAGCCCCACAGCTGGCAGCCAGCCGCTCACTCCAGTCCCAGACACCAAACCAGGTCTGGCAGAGCCAGGATTCACACAGCCCCAGTGACACAAGCGAGTGCTGGGGGCTCTGCCCCGCCTGGGAGAAACTGTTTGTTAGCTTTGCCCCCAGGATGGTGAAGCATTAACTCAGTTCGAACTCTTCGATGGGTTTTAGCACAATGGCTCCTCTGCCTTCTTGTTCCAAATGTTTCCCTTCATAACTTGCTCCCAGAGCACAGCCCCAACCCCTGTACCTTCCCTGTGCCCCCCACCCCACTCTAATGGGAGAAGAGCAGCCAGTAAACTTCGCAGCTGTAGAGATTCTACTGAGAGCAAGCTGAGCTAATGCAGACCACCACAGGCTCCAGGGCCCTAATTCCCTTCCCTGTTGCTCAGCACCTGGCATGGCTCTGTGCTAGGGCAGGAGGAATGGCAGAACAGGAGGCCCAGCACACCTGGACTGCTGAACCTCCACAGCACAAGAGGGCTCAGCATGAGGAAAGAACTCAGAAAACACCAAAAGCAGCAGCCAAGCAGGTTCATTTCTGAGAGAGCTTCTCAAAACACCACGCTGGTCCCACAACCACAGCATATAACCCTTTCCAGGCTCCTTAAGCCCTCCTACCCCACTACTGTACCACCACGAGCCCCTCGTTTGCCCCACTCTGATGCCTCCAAGACACAGATTCAGCCTGCCCCCGTACCCCAATGAAAGCCCCATGAGCTCCTTCAAGCCAACCTGTGGGCCCAGCCTGGGGACTTGCCACCAGTCACAACCCATCTGAGGCTGCTTGCTGCCCAGACACCACAAAACCCACATCGTGTACCAAAGCACCGCCTGCTCTGTCCCCAGCTCCCAGCTGCAGGGTAGGGGACAGCAGGCAGGAGGTGCAGGAGTGGGACAGATCAGAGCTGGGAGGCTCGTAACAGGAGTGAGGTGGTTGATATCTCCTGGTAGAGCTTCTGATCTTTGTGCTCTCAAGCAGGACGTGCCTGCATGACGATTGCTGCTACAACTCATCCAGGTGAGCAAAAGCTTTAGGGTGGTAAATATCAATATAGCATGGTTGGGTTCATTTGGGCCTCAGTAGAGGTGATGTTTAGCTCAGCTGTTCTGCTGGCCAGGCACAGTGGCTCAGCACAGGGGTATTAGTGGCTTACAAGAAGCAGTGTCAAGGAAGGAGGAGCAAGGAGGGGTGGGGAAAGATGGTCACACATCATGCAGTGCAGTGGGAGGAAACTCACGGATACTCCTGACGGAGGCCCGGGACGGCTTGTCGGATCGGAAAGAGGAGGAAGCTGCTTCCAAACAAAAAGAGACATGCTTAAAACAACGTGAATTGGAGTGAGGGGAAGGCAGGGCCCAAAGGGAGGTTCTGTTAGGAGAAACATGGCATCCTGCATGCTGTTAGAAAACCATCTGCCTCGCTGGGACCAGGGAGGGACAAATGCAGCGTGATGGAAGATGGGGAGGGAGAGATGTTGAATTTTTCCTTTCTGCCCTTGCTGTCACTGACTGGGTGCTATCAGTCAGTGACCCAGACTGCAGGCTCTGCTGGGACTTCTCCAAAGTCAAGAAAACAGAGGCTGTTGGGCCTCAAGAGAAAATAGCCTGACTCTAGAGATGTTTAAGACACTTCCAGAGCCACCAGCTTGTGAAGGCACATCCAACACATCAGAAACACAACTCTTAGGCAGAGCAGTTCCCCTCCATCCCCAGGACACTGCTCCAGAGACACCTGTGTGCACGATGACATACATGGGACAACTTTACCTGAGACTTTAGGGGTGGGAGCACAAGAGAAGCCCCCGTTAGATTGGTCACTCTCTCCAAAGTCATACGTCTCCCTGGGTTTGGGCTTGTATTCCCGCCTGGGACGTGAGGAGGCCTCCCTCATTCTGGCAGAATCAAAAGAAATGTGGATAAATTAAAGTGAAAACGAGTCTGAGAAGATCAGTGCACATCTTGCTTGTTGGTGTGAATGCTCTGGAAAAGGCATGATGCATCCAGAGCTAGAACATGAAGCTCTGTCCTCAGCTAAGCAAGGCAAACATAACTGACCCCTTATAACCATAGAGGGACGAGTTTCAGTTGCCTCCACCTCAGACCTACAACTCAGCTTTTGGAAGACAACACCCCTAGGTTTTGTTGTAGAGCAGCTCAGGCCACCACTGCTTTCAGGCCAGCAGAGGACACTCGTGCTGCACTTTGAAAGCTCACAGCAGTAGGATACTCCCAGCTCTTCCCAATTCCAACCAGACACAGCATCCATTCAGTGGTTTCTTCTATGACAGAAGAGCAGCAGGGCAGCAGTGCTAAATCACCAGGAACTCCAGCTCCCTAACTACAACTGAAGCTAATGGCACAAAGACACTAAGCTAGGAGGGGACAGGCACATTCAGGTCGTGACATCTGATCTATCTGCTCCAGCAGCACGGTCACTTGATCCCAGGTCTGGCTAAAAGATATTTCCTGGTCAAGGCCCAAGATGCAAGGAGCTGTGGGCACTGGCATTAAGGGTGCACTGCATATCCACCCTTTCTCTGCCAAATTCAATACCAAGTTCCCTGAGAACTGCACCCTCCAATTCAGGCATCGCTCAAAGCAGCAGAAACTGGCTGCCTGTGAAGCAAGGACAGACACGTTTTGTATGTCAGAATGCGCCCATCACTGATCTGAATGAGGTTTGGACCGAAGCTGCAGTGACTGCAAGCACTGGCTTTAACACCAGGGGGCAGATTCAGACAGGGAGCCAGGTATATTTACAGGCAAGTGCCATGCAGAGCTCATGGCTGTGAGAACAGAGTGCCCAAAGCCCCCAGGACTCACCTGCGTTTGAGCTTTTCTGCCAGTTCATCCAGGATCTGCACTGCCTGCCTGTGGTAGTCCAGCTGAGCATCCACCAGGGCCGACAGCTGGCTCACCTGCTCAATCTGAGAGAATCAAACCAAGGCAGGATGATTGGCTTTCCCTTGCTGACAGAAGACTCCCACTAGGGCTGAGATTATACTGGGAAACGTGCACAAGGGACAGCTTCCCCAGGGAAACGAGGATGAGGTTTGGGATTTCAGATACTTGAGACCAGGCTCTGGCTCAGACTCAGCAGAATGGCTCCCATTCTCCCACTGTCTCCCACCCTGAAGCCTTCCATTCCCCAGCTGGTCAAATTCTTCCCAAGGGTGCTGCATTACCTGGCCAAACTCATTCCCAGTGGCACCCTCACACAGATGGAAACACAAAATCCACCCCCAGCTCTCAGCCCCAGGAGCATCAAGGAGTCCAGGCGCCCTCTATGCACTTACATCAGTTTCTAGGAGGTTGTGCATACTGGTCTCTGCTACTTCCTTGGACTCTTCAAACTTCTCCATGGCCTGTCGGAGTTCCTCATCAGGGATTTTTCCCTGTCGTTTCTTCTTGTAATCAAAGTCCAAGCGTCTGCCTTCCAGCTTCTTGAGATGGTGCTGGGAAGAAGACGGTTATGAGCAGCAAAGAAAAAAGAGGAAAGAACCAGAGACTGGGAGCAACTGAATTTTTGTGTTGAGAAGGCAGCACTGGTCACAGGCCAAGCTCATTCGTTTCAGAAGCTTGATCTCAGAGCATACACTTCTGTGGCTCCCATGTTTGTTCAGGTTGCAGCACAGGATAGAGAGCTGCACATCAGGGGTGCTGTGAGATGATGCGGAGGAGCAGACAGTTTGGCAAAGCATTGCTGCTGTAGGTGCTTCTTACTAAGGAATAACCTTCAAGTATGGTATGGAAATATAGTTTCACCCCTTTCTAGCTGGGAGCTGGAGGAAAACAATGTGGTGAACAGCCCAGGTCTGTTCCTCATGCAAGGGAAAGGAAGAGCTGGCTCTCTACTTCGAGCTCCTCGTGAGTGACAGGGATCTCTACAGATCAGGAATTGGGATACAGATTCTGAATATTATATCCTGTAACAGCTTAGGGTCAGAACTGTTTAAATCAGCACCAAAAGCAAGCAGCCCAGAACATATGTTGGGATACACTATGACAGCATCCTCCATAAAGAACAGTGAATGAACTACTCCAACCTACACCCAGCTGTAGAAGCTGCTCAGGAGCAGTGGCAGTGATGCTGAATACACCGAGCAGGGGAGCAAATACTAGGAAATATGGAGAGAGAATGCACATCACATGCAGGGGAACAGAAGTGGTACCTCTGCCTGTCCACACTGTTTTCCACTGTGATGGAGCAAGTGGCTACATGCACTGATAGCCAGAACAGGCCAGCATCTAAGGAGATGAACAGCAGAGACAACACCGTGGCGTTTACCTGGATCTCTTTCAGGTCTTTGTCACACAGGTTCTGGAGGGGATCAATAAAATTTTGTTTGACTTCAATATCCAGTGAGTCCTTCACTTCAGCCAATCGTTTCATAGATTCCCCAGCATCAAGCAGCGCATCGCCTTTGAGTGAGAAAAGGAAGAGAAAGGGAGGAGGAGAACAAGCCAGCCGGTTAAACAGAGCCAAAGTCTGTGGCAGCTGCATGCAGAGCCATTCTGCCATGATACCCAGCATGTGCAACTTCTGTCCTATGTCAAAAACCTCCACGTTTCTACGTGGAGCAGCTTCCTGAGCTGAGCACAGGGAGCGCTGACTGGCGTGACAGCGGGCAACGGCGTGTTGGTGCAAACTCCACAGAAGACACTTCACCAATGTGCTTCATTTTCTTCCTCTGAACACAAGAACTACACAGAGGAAGGGAAAAGTATTTCATAAACAGCTTTGTTAACTCAGGGAGTCCCTGAGCTACTAATTGGCTGAGCACAGCTTTAACCTTGCTTGGCCACTGCTGGCAGCAGAAGCTGGGGGCAGAGTACATTTGGCCTGATTGAGCCAAGCCATCCTTTTGTTCAGATGGCTTTTAAGCCCAGAGCACTCTTGACCAACCTCTCAAGTTTCCCCAGATGTCAACAACAAACCTGCAGCCTTCTATTCATTTTGGACCTCTATCGAGCCAATCTTATCTCTTTTTCCACCTCTCTCTGAATTCGAACTCAGAGTCGCTTACTGAAACCTATTTAGCTTTTCTAAAGCTCCCTCTAATGATGACAGTTAAACCAGACAGCCTCGCTGAAAAGCACTTTTAGTCTGGGCTTTTTATTCCAGTGGAAACCATTTATAGGTTAAATTATTCCTGTGCAGCTTTGGCAAACCAATCGTTTCAGCACTGCATCAGCACAGGAGTTGATGCAAATGAAATGGAGAGTCAAGTGAAACCACCAGTCTGCTGTCCAGGTGGAAAAAAAGCAAACGACAGAGTATCTGCAGAATTATTATTTCAATGGTGCTAACTCTAGATAACCTGTCAAAATAAAAATTCATCAAGTTAAGTGTTTCTGTAAAGAGAGGCTATTAGAGGAAGCCAGGTTTGCTATGTTCTTCTAAAAACTTCCTTCCCCCTTGCTCTGCAATAATACTGGTTTCCTGCAAGCCAAGAGAGATACAGAGTTCTGAGTCAGCCAGAGATACCCTCGAGAATTCACCACTCCCACACAGCAGCCAGGGCTTTGTCATTTTCCTGAAGCAAGGCTCCTCCCTGCACTGGAAGGGATCAGACAGCTGTGCACTGCATTGGCTCTGTCACATGGGCAGGCTGATGTTTCACTGGATTAAGACTAATGTCATCAAAAAGCTTCACACCCCCTTCCTCCCTGCAAGCCACACGTGGCTTGTTTCATGATTATGAGAAGTCACCCCATGAAGAGGTTTCTTGGCTACAGAATCCCCATAGCAGAGCTCTATGGCATATTAAAGCACCTCATATTGCTCAGTCCAGTTTCCACATCACCACATTCAGTTTAAAAGCACAGACACAGTTTTTCCCACATGCAAGCTTATCCCAGTACTCAACAAAAAAGTATTAGAAGGTTTTGGACCTAAACCTAATGTTGATTACGATCCAGTCCCCTTGGGTTCTGCTTCTCCTTCCCCGAGTGGAAGCCTTCAGACCTCTTCTAAAGGCCAGTGTACAGAAAGGCAGTTGACAGCACAGACATCAGTGGTGAGCTGTGGATTTTGCCCTTGCTTTTGGTTTAAGGAATGAGGCTCAGCCGCTGCCATGCGTTTGCTCTGAGACTGCTACAGATCCGGCACTCGTTGGACCAGAGGCACACGCTGCTAAGTGATACAAAGGGTCCCAGAGCCCTTTGGGAATCCAAAAGAACACAGTTTGGAGATTTGGCACCGGGCTTTGCTGTCTTATCTGCACGCTGCTGCAGGGTGCAGCCCCACGGGGCACTCACCAAAGTTGGAGTCCTCGCCCAGCTCCTTGCCGTAGCGGATCATGCTCTCCCCCAGCAGCCCTTCTGACTGCGGGTAGCCAGGATTCTTCACCTGCCCACGGATCTTCGACATCGTGTTCAGCATGGTTAGCTTGGCTCTGGAAGCTGGCACAGAAACAGCCACAGCCGTGTTTGTCATTACTTGGACTTGCCAGCAGCTGCTGGCCACTGCCAACTCTTTTTTTAAGTGACTCCCAAAGCCAAGAAGTGCTATTGTCATAATCTACCAGAAATATCACTTGCTATGAAAAGTAAAGTTTCTTTTCCAAGGCAGCAAATAAATATAGATCCCCACAGCTAACTGGTGAAGGCCAAAGGAGTTTCCCCAGCCCTCCCGTAGTCCCTGGAGCATTCTCTGAGCAAGCTGCCTGGAAACACACAGGACAGCAGGCTCCGGAGGTGATGGTTACAAAGCGAACCATCCCTTTCCAAGCCAGAGATGACATTTTTTTGGGACACCCTGGTAAAAACAGGTCCCCTCCAGATCTTTCCTAGATCCAAGGTTAAAGATGCGTCTGTTTTATTCAGTTTGATAGCAACAGCAGTATCTTACAGCCCAGAAACACATCACTGGTCAAAAGGGCCGTATGACCACAGAGCACCTGCGAGCCAGGGTAAGACCCCACTAAGCTCAGCCAGTTAGCAAAGCCACAGGGAATGTACAGGACAGCCCAGCATACATCTGGTAAAGGTAGACAGCATACCTGGTAACAAATGTGGGCTTGGTGGCACACCTCAAGGCCATAAAGGTTCTCTCTGAGGTCTCTCTGCCTCTTTCTCTCCTACCCTCTTTGGGGGGCAGAGGGAGAAGTGGACAGCAGAGGTGCTGTCACTCACCTGGGTTTGGCTGCAGATATTCTATTGTTCTGGTCAATACTTCTGTAACTGCCTTGCTGGTCAAATCCACTTTCTGTAGGAAAACAAGATGATCCAGCAGCAGTGAAGATCAGCTCAGGGCTTTGGCAAGGTCACAGAAGGCTTTTACGGGTAATTTTAGGGGATTTCTCCTATCTCTTACTCACTTTTTCCATTTCCTTGAAGTCATCGTCAAGTTTGGTCCCTTCTGCCCCTCCAACCTTTTCGCTGACCAGCTGCAGAAAAAGAACAAGGCAGGAAGAATCAGGCATGGCAGTGGCTGCCCACTACCTCACGCAGAGAGGTATCGAGTCCTGGGGACAGAAAGGGAAGAGGGATGGTCCAGACAGCATCTGCAAGAGAAAGGAGGCAGTAGGAACAGCCCAAAGCATGGTAACAACATGCTGCCCTATCCTCCCACAGCACAGCTCAGCCTTCAGACACAGGCAGGATATTCCTCACCTGGCAGAAGCTACAAAGCTCTTTAAAATCATAACTCTCAGCTCCAACTCCGACGCTTTCTGGAAAAAGGGAGCAACAGCATTGTCTCTCAACTCTGCTATAAGAGAGGCTTCAATTTCACACAAGGCAAAATGCAAGTACACAGGGAATTAACATACTCTGCTTGCAGCAGCCATACAGAGCTAAGCCCAGAAAGAACCACTCAAACCACTCAAACTCCTTGCAATCCAGATGGTGAGAGCTTAGGGCTCTGTATTTCAACATTTTTTAAAGAGAAGGATAAAGAGACTTACAGAAGCTACAGGAAAATGTTCAAATCCAATTATCAAGGTATCTCTGATGTCTGTTCTAAAACAAGGCGAACACAAGACGTTTGACACAGCTGGGAAGGCAGGGTTGCTTTTGGCTATCTGCACCAAGGGCTTATCAGCTTTCTTCAAAATGCCACTTAGTGTAAGAAAAGACTTTTTCCCAAAGCTTCACCATTCACCTTCCCGAGCTGAAAGACACGTGCCAACAGTGCTTTATTAAATCCAACTGAAGAAGTGTCCCTCCATGCAGCTCAAATGGAGAGGAACATCTCCTGCCCTGCCCCATTCCCATGTGGCAAGGCCAGTGGCAGCACCTGGGGCTCAACAGATGGGCCAAAGCTACCTGCAGTGTGCCCACAAGCAACTGCCAGGCCCCAAAATGGATCTGTGCACAGCAAATTACCTCCACAGACATCAAAAGTGGTTTAGGAAATGGTTGCTGCCTCCCCAAGCTCTCGATGCCTGCCACAGGCCATTGCCAGGATTCCTCATGCTTGTAGTCAAAACTCCAGCTCTGGACAAACAATACAGGTTTGTTTACTTCAACATCAAATACTTGATTTTATCAAGTCTTTCTTCCTGTGGCGCCCATGGGGACTCAGAGTGGTTCCTTAGTTAAAGGACAAGGAGAAAAAACTCGTTAAGCAAGCATCCAGTTCCAAATGCACTTAGAGATACCCCATAAGCTCCATGCGACTGCGCTCCCTGGGCAGTGCTTAGTCCCCAAATCAAATGATTGCTGTAAAACAGGGAAGTCTGCAGGGATTCAGCAAAATTCTACACCCCAAACTAGGAAAGAGAAACAACTAAGAAGCTGCAAACCAAGGTGCTAGGCTGATCTCTGCTATGGCTGATGTGCTCCTCGTGCCTCAGTGGTCGGATGGATATCTGCAGCTGCTCAGAGCTTCAAGGCATGCAGACATTACAGGGAAGAGGCTCAGAGAGAGCAGAGAGCTCTTCTGAATGACAGCTCTGCACTGAGCAACAGCAGCATAAATCATCCCAAGGCCAAAATATCCTTTTAGAGCAAGAGTCTGAAAGAGCTGAGAAAGAAGACAGCAGCCTTTCAGGGCCTCGTTTTGCCTGGGCAAGGCTTTTTTCTCTTTCTGGGGAAGCAGAGGACCTCAGATGTTTCACAAAGAGATTGCTGTGGTTCCCCTGGGCATGAAAACACTGGGGGAAAGCAATGGGTCAGCGCTCTCCAGGTTCACCCAGCGCAGCTCTCAGCTCCGGATTTCATTCTCAGATGCACACCCAGATGGATCTTCACACATCCCTGCACGTGCAGCCCCACAAAGGTCCATGCAGGCTTCTGGGGGCAGCGCAGCCCTCTTGACCTCACCAGCTTTTTTCTAGCACCTGAAAGGACATGGGAAGTGCAGGGAGAGCAGGACTGTGGATTCAGCAAGCGTGCCAAGAGGGGCTCAAAGGGGTGCTATCACCGCAGAGCTGCCTGCAGATGGGCAAACAACCAAAAACTCAAATTCTTGCTTTTTTTGGATCCTTGCTCTGTGCTCGGGGTGCCAGCACACACTTCTGCCTGCCAGCTCTGAGCTGGGGAAGCACACATTCCTCTTTGGAGCAGGGAAAATAAACCACAAAGCGGTTGCTCTGCCTTGCAGACCCTGCGTGGGCACTCACTGCCAGCTGCCACCACCCACTCCTGTGCTTCCGTGCCAAAAGACAGCTCGACACGCAGCCTCTGTGGCCAGAAAGGGGCTTCTACACAGCCCAGAGCAGCACCTCCAGAAAGGTCCTTTCCTCTGCAATACACCTGAGAAGAGTACAATTAACCGGCGTAATTCCATCCCTGCTTTTCTCCACCCGCCCACAGATTTGCAACCCAGAAAGCTGCAAATACAGCCTGTGATGGAGAGCTCTGCTGTAATCGGGGACTGCATGCCATGCTGTACACAGTGATCACCACAGTGATTTTGGAGGCTTAACACTCTCTCAGAGAGCATAGAGATGTGGAGGGGGAAAATTCGCTTGCAGACTAATTTAATCCTCCTTTTGACATCCAAGAAATGCTACTGGTGCCCTGCTGTGAAGGACGAATACGACTGAGGTTTTCTCCCTGCTGGCTCTAATTAAGCTAGGAGGCTTCATCTCAGGAGGAAAGAAGGAGGGACTGTGTGCCATCTCCATCCCAACAGTCCCAAATCTGTCAGGCACAGGACAAACTAATGCCAGTTCCCCTCTGTGCCAGCAGGGATGTGAGCCAGGGACACAGCCAACATGCTGTTAGCCCAGGCCCACCCATCCTGGAGAAGGGATCTGATCAGTACTAATCAATATCCAAAGGGAGGGAGGTCAGGAGGATGGGGCCAGGCTCTGTTTGGTGGTGCCCAGTGACAGTACAAGGGGCATCGGGCACAAAATGGAACCCAGGACAGGGCATATAGCATAATGTTAAGCCTACAGGAGACAGTCCTGTAGCTTAGTGCGAGAGGAGCAGGACACAGTGGAAAAGCAAAAGCCCTCAGCTGCACTGCACAGCAGCCAAAGCTGTGTGCTTCCTGGAGCAAATATTAGCACAAGGCAATACGGTTGGGCGTCACAGATCGGCGAGATAAAACAGCTTCAAAACAGGATGGCTGTTTACCTGGCACTTTAACCACCAATCTGTAGGGTCAGAAAAAGGGACGAAGCAGACGGTGCACAAACAGTCCAGCAGAGAAGCGACACCCGTGTATAATTAAAGCTTGCTGGCAGTAAAAATGTGGCCCAGATAGCTCAGACCTGAGCTCAGGGCGTAGGGAGGTACGGTGATTGCAGTCCTGTTGGATGGCTCTGGTTCTGTGCCAGGGTGCAGCGGTGGATCCCACCCAGCAAACACCTCCACAGCACAGCACTCGTCTTTGCTTCGTCTGCCTCTTTGCTCCTGACTGTATTTTGCAGATTCTGCAGCCTCATTTTAACAAGGATCGACTCGCAGGGGCTTCAATCACACTTACCTTTGGTGTTCCAATGCTACCAAAGGGCTGTGCGTGGCAGAAGATGTTCAGAAATGAAAGCCCTTTTGTTAGCTAACTACTGCAACAGGAGCTTGGCAACAGGGAGGGGAAGGAATGAGCTGCGTATGCTGAAGGATAAGAAAGACAGGATGGAAAGGGGCTTCTCTTATAGCAGAGAGTGGGAGAGAAACGTAATGCCAGGGATGAGGGAGGGCTGTGCCGTCTCTCCAGACACAACACAAAATCCACACACCCCTCTCACCCTCACCAGCCCCCTCCAAACCCACCACTCCTTCCTTCAACCTACAAAACTGCTCTTCAACCCCAGGATGAACTCGTGGTAAATAACAAACCATCGGACAACGCTCTCGTCATCTGGTTCACCCTTACGTAAACCCGATGAATCAGACAGACCTAGCAGGCATCTGCTGCTGCCCACGCCATCGCTGAAACCTAAACAGATGCCAGTGGCATTAAGTAGGACCTTGGCACACCCACCCCAAAGCTGCACTCCCCTCATTGCTGGCTGGCTGCAGCACCACCCCTTTAACATCCCTGCAAAGAGATGGTGACATGAGGCCGTGCCCAGGGCATCTCTTCGCACAGCAGGTGCCTGTGGATGGAGTACAGAGCATCAAGATATTTTGCAAGCAGCAGATGTGTCCCCAGAGTCAACGAGTGGCAGCTCAGAGCAATGGGATGCGCTGTGCTGCACTGCAGCCTTGCTGCATCACACCAGCGCTGGTGACGGAAGAAGGACAGATGTGTAGGGAAAAAAAAGGGAAATCAACGTACAGTTCAATCACCAACCATGAAAACAGAGCCAAAACCGAGTGGGAAGATGCCACCATCCAAACCTTCTGCAGTTGAGGAGTGCTGGTGAAGCCCCTCCATCTCAAGATCCAGCAGAGGGCAGATGTGCAGCACTGCCCCTAAAAGTGAGCAAGTCTTTGTTGCCCAGCCTGTGGATACAGGAGGCTGAAATCAGTGCTGTGCCAACGAGCAGCTGCTCCACAGGGACCTCACACATCCCGCTCCGACACACTGCTCTTCAACTTTCAAGTATTTTCAATTGGGAAATTAAGGTAGTCAACTGTAGGACGTAACTTCCTCGAACAAGCACAGCTCATCAAGAATGAAAAATACCTGTTTTTTCTTTTAAAACTTGCATTTTTTCCCCTTAGCAAACAGCCAGCGCTATTTATAACATATCAAACACATGCAATCTCTGCATTCAAAGCAGTTGCCCACACTGCAATGAAAACATTATCCTTCCCAAAACTGATGTGCCAAAGCCTTCTCACTCCTCCCTGCGTCCTGCCTCAGCAGAAAGTGCTCTTTTGAGAAATAAAAACCACAGACAAGCAAACAGACGAGCAGCTCTGCCCTGGTTGCCTGCATTAAAAAAGAGCAAGTTCAGTGGGAAAGAAAAAAAAGAAGAAGAAAACAGCCCACAAACTAACTAAAAAGGTGCTGTAGGTGTTTTGAATCCCAGATGAACAGGGC